CACATATTCCGGATGGATACTAGCCTGTTTACAGATAGGTAGTAGGTTCGTTTTAAAGTAATTTATAGTTTCTATAATATTTCGTCATGCACCTAGCTCCTTCAGTTTATTTTTCTATCTTTATTATAAAAGCTTTCTGGGGAATTAATATCTGAAGGTATGAATTGAAAATGTAGATTTGAAATCCTTATAGTGTGTAGCCTTTGATAGAAAAATATCATGATTATTACTATTAATAGGTAGGAAAAAGTTACAGAATTCATGTAATAAATAAATACGTAGATTAAAGAACATGTAGGTATGTACATACATAGTTACATGGAAAGTAGAATAACCAAGCATTGTGGTACAGACTAAAACGCTTTTAACCCCACCTTTTGTTCCTACTACTGAAACTTTTTAGACGGAATCTTTATCATGGGTGCCAATATAACCCCCAGCAACTAACGGGTAATCCGGGACATAGCTAACTTTCTTGGAGCCCACAACGACTTGCAAAATTTGTTAGGACAGAGTTCACTGTATCTGCCTCCATTATTCCTGTGGTATTTCTAGTTTTGGTAAAGCCTCAAGGTTGTATTATGTGACGATTTATAATCATCGAAACTATAATGATGAAACGGCTGATTTTAAAACTTAGATTCAAAAACCTGATTAACACAGTCGGATCATCAAATTATATGATTAGGTTGCGATTTAATTGTAAACGGTATTTTGATGGACAATAAAAATCTAATGCCGTATATTTTCCAACAGTTTGGAAGGTATTCGATGATAGATATTTGATGTTTTACTTGCATTCCCAACCATAGATTTATCTCTATAATAATGGATAAAGTTCAACCCTATAATGTATCTGGAAGAAAACACCAACACTAGTCCTAACTGAGAATATACTCAATTCTGTAACCGTTATGTTACAGGAAATATTAATTTGGGACTTAAATTGTTCAGAAGTTCATTACTTTTTTGCATATTCATTTTCAAAGTAAAGCTTCAAGTGTCGGTAGGTTTCCTACTAAACAAGGTGCGCTTGATAGGTGAGTTAGTTTTATTTTCGGTGTAATTGTCACAGTTCAGTGATTCGTTGCGCGAATTGACCAACGTAGGTCGCTGTAGTGTTGTCGGAATAACTCAGTACAAATACTATCGTAAGTTATTTATGATGAACGATTTTGAAACGGCTACGTGTAGTACTTTTGATTGTGAGGGTATTTCATATTTTTTCTTTATGATTCAATTCATTACGATTAGTGTCTTATTTTTTTGTTTTCTTTTTATTTTTGTAGTACAAAGACTAAAAGAATGATCTCATTAATCTCTACATTATTTTACTTGGCAATCAAGATGAGTTAATTAAATCAAGACAGATGAACCAGGTAGATTGGAATTATTTTTGAAAATATTATCGGCATTGATTAAATTACCCATTCAGAAATTATTGATTTTGATAATTACTTGAACTTAAGAACTGGTGAAATACTAAAAATAATTTAAAGTATTATTTATTTGTACCAATTTTATTCCGTTAACGGTTTTCCTATCGATTTGTTTGCCGGTCGACCGGTCTTTAACTTATAGGTTTTGTTGCTAAGCCGCACTAGACTGGTGTCACGACCGCGACCGAAATTAGATCACCTAGTTTGTGCTGTTGGTAATGTTGCTATAATATTTGCACAATGTAACTCTATCGACGCGATACCGGTACCAGTGAGTTGAACATTTTAAGATAGATAGCGACCCGCCCCGGCTCCGCACGGGTTCAAAATTTAAGCAAAATATAAAAATCTTTCTCTTGAGTAACTCTATCTATTGCTGAAAACTAAATTATAAACCCTACCGTAAGAAGTTTAAAATATCCAAGTGCAAGTTTATTTTATACTAGCTTTCCGCCCGGCTTCGCCCGCGTGGAATTTTTCGGTTTTTTATATAACCTATGACACTCAGCAATAATGTGGCTTTATATTGGTGAAAGAATTTTTAAAATCGGTTCAGAAGATCCCGAGATTACCCCTTACAATTTAACAAATATACAAACACACAAACTTTACCTCTTTATAATATTAGTATAGACTATGTAAAGATAATTATCATCAAAAATAATTCAGATTAAATGCGAGTGTTAATAAAAATAAATAATTAATGTGATGATTAAGTGGAACCATTAGCTGCTTTGTGAAATATTGCAGTGAAGTGTACTTAATTACCACTTGCAACGGCTATAAAAATGTCTCAATAGACATAATTCAAGCACTGAAGCAATTTTTCAAATACTAGCTTTCCGCCTGCGGCTTCGTCCGCGTGGACTACATTATATAGCCTATAGTGGACCCGCCTATTTTTTTCCAAAATAAAATTTTGCCTATGTTACTCGTGGATAATGTAGCCTTCGAATGGTGAAAGAATTTTTAAAAACGGTCCAGTAGTTTTTGAGGCTATTCATTACAACCATACAAACAAACAAAGTTTTCTTCTTTATAATATTAGTGTAGAAGTGTAGATAAATTTAACAACTAGATCTTGTTCTTCGCACATAAAACTAAATGCTGTCTGTAATAATTACTATGACTAGATTCCGCGATGATAATGATAATTCTTTAAATCTTACGCAATAGTTTCGATCCATGCAGTCGCTTTTTGTATGTTGATGAACAATTAATTACTGTAATCAAGTTGCGTTTTGTTTCTAGAAAGTTCGAGGAAAGTTTTAATCAATAATCCATTTCGGGGACGTTAACATCTGTTATCACATAACTTATTAGATCAATTATACAGTCAAAGTCGTAAACGGAGAAATTGTTGCATTCCTATAATTTATGTTTCTGATTCCATTTCACTTGTAAATATAGCTTTAACATATTCTTACACGCGGCCATCTCTTTTTTGCAGGTTTTTATTTAACTTCATAATGTGTTTAGGTGTTGGATATGATTAAATCTTGCAAGTGGAGTTTGATCTACTTGTAGCTGATTAAGTCGACATTTTACAAACAAAAAACAATTCCACGATCATTAGTTGTAACTAAAAAAAACTTTTTTTATATTGAATGGGTTTATTGTTCTTTCTTAATCTCACCCAAAAGATACAGAAACGATCTACGATTATAATGGAGCATGCTTACAGGTTGGTTAGAAAATTATTGATATTTTCAAATCATCTAAAACGAATTTAGCCAAGCAATCAATTCCTCTCTCACATGACTTTTTCGGCAATATACTTAAGTGCCTGCTGTATTTTTCGGTTGCAGATTTAATGCATACTTTATTTGCTACTTATCTTTAATTTATGCTTGTCAGCTCGAATTGCTTGTGCGCCAGCCACGCTTCACGGACATTTTGGAGTTGCTAATTTTATTCGCAAGCGGGCAAAGCCCTCAAGGACAGCGGTGCTGGTCTATTTGGTTTTTAATTAAGCTATTGTTCAATTGGTGGCTCATTTTGCAGTATCTGGAGTGTTACTTGAACCGTGAAATTATGTCCTGCCTATGACTAAATAAGTTATGTCACTGTACTGTCAATTGTTGCTTGATGGTGGCTGTAGGATCGTTACTTTTCCTTCTTTTGTTTTATACTAAACTAGCGGCCGCCCGCGACTTCGTACGCGTAAATCCAGTTTTTCCCGCTAATTCCCGTTCCCGTGGGAATTTCGGAAATTCCTTTCTTAGTGCACCTCTACGGTACCTAAGCTTCAAGTGCCTACGTTTAGCCGTTTAGGCTGTGCGTTGATCTGTCAGTCAGTCAGTCAGTTTCTCCTTTTATATATTTATTTAGATTATGAGTTAAGTGACTGTACTTCGGAGCTTCTAAAAGCCACTAAAGATATCTACGGTCTAAGCAGCTCTACCATATTTGAACTAATGAAACGGCGACCTAAAAAGAAGATAGTTTTCGCGTAGCTGTACATCGCTAAAAAATGTGTACATGTTACATTCAACTGAACAGAGATCTAATCAAGGCCATTGTTGGTTTACTATGTAATAATTTTAAATTGTAGGTCAGGAAGCTATATTGATGCTGAAACGGTACCACTATTATGTAGATGTTATCTGCGGTGCCTGTTGGTTAAGAGTAAGAAACTGTATCCGAGGATTGTGATTGGATTTGACAGATTAGTCAGTTTAAATTAACAGTCAGGCAACATGAATTACGTACGACTGAAGTCTCAAAAGACACTGGGGACAAGATTCTGTTCATAACTTGACAAAATAGTCTGACATAACTAGATCAATCAAATGGAAAAAACTGCTCACCGTGCCCTTCGAGGCATGGAAATAATATTTCTAAGTATATTTGATCAACACAGTAATTTTACACTATATGCATTCCATCTGAGAATCGTACCAAAATCAGCGAGTTCAATTAATTAAATACTTGCTAGGATATCACTTTATCGGTGACAGCTAACACACGTCTTTTAAATAGTTTTGCTTCTTTTATGATTAAACAAATCAGTGCGTTAATATTTTTACATAACGGAAATAATGAGGAAGCAATAAAAAATTAGCAGTTTAATTATTTTGTGTAACGATACAATTTTGTATTTCATAATTGCTACTGGACACGCCCGTATTGCCTTCGCACGGGTAAGGAAGTGAGCAGTGAGCAAAAAACTTCACCAATTACAATAGTATGAGTAGATTGAAGATTAATTTCAGTTTAATACTCTACATCTTGACCGCCAACCAAAACTCAACGATTGAAGGCAAGCTAAATGAAATTGCGATTTGAAACGTAACAAAATTAATTTGAAGAAAATCTTCGCTCTAGCTAGTGTAACATGAAAGACAGCTATGACAAACAATAGGCAATATTAGTATTTTGCATGCCACAAAAATTAATCTTTGAAAAAATTAAATTAAAAACTGACACATCTTATAAAAGTTGCAGGAAGGCGCTGGTTCAGGCCGCTGCCAACCGGTCAATCTAGATATCATTAGGGGAGCCTATGTTTAGCAGTGGACGTCCTCTGGTTGAAATAATAATGACGATGAAAGAACTCACCTCATATATTTCCTGTGTTCATTGACCGGTACGAAGTACTCATCGTACGGGTTAGTCGCATTCATATCGACCTCAACATCCTTCTTCTTAGCATTCCCATTCTTCGGCGTCAGATTTATCAGTTCCAAGTTAACTGCTTCTAAAGTTTTGGTGTCCCCATTGGGTTCTTTGTGTCCGTTCTGCTGTGGGGGGTTGGAGGTGAAGGAATCGTTGTGGTTTTGGTCGGGGTCGTCGTGCTGGTAGGCGCGGTTGTCGAAGGCGGCAGGCGAGGGCGGCGAGGGCGGGCGGTGCTGGGGCCTGGGCGGGTCCCGCGGAGACGCGGAGCGGCTGTGGCTATCCATCACTTTTGGGGCGGACTGACATCTGCGGAAGAAGATGAGTGTTAGAACTATATTATCACAACTGGGAAAGAGGGCTTTTGGGACGTACTGACATCTGCGGCAGAAGATGATGTTTTTAGGTTTTTATCACGACTCGTATGCATGGAAAACCAATAGCACGCGATTTTGACCCAAATATTTTTTTTTAATGTTGGTAGAAGATACATAAGAGTTACAATTTATTTCCCAATAATCACCAACTAAACATTTTATCATTTTACTTTCTGTGTTTTTATTATTTTTGCGATTGAGGGTACTGTTCGTAGGTACGAGTATGACTGCTAATTTTAGATTGACATTTAGTCATGATGATGATGTAGCAGAATAATATGTAGACATCAAAGTGAGAGCATTTTTATCGCGTGTTAGCTAATAGCAAGCAATCTAGACTTTTGTATTATAGTTTATTTATTGGTCTGGATACCAAGTGGCATTTAAATAAACAGTTGTTTTAAATTATACTTAAATACAAAACTTTCTTTTTATTAATGAGTGCAAAACGTTTAATAAATATCTATATGATTACGTAATCTGGCTCTTTCTTCAAGGAAGACTTAGGCTGAGTTGCAGCACCCAACTTTGATCGTAACTATAACGATAACCGTCGTTTTTTGTATGGGGTTTGACAGATTTTTGACGTTTGTCAAAGTTAAAGTAAGATGGTGCAACCCAGCCTTATACTTTTTTTTTATGGCAATCCGCGCAGTATGCGCCGTGCCAGAGTCGAGTAAGCCTTATACTTCTTCAATTTTACAAAAGTCAAGCGTCATGTTATATTAAAATATGGTGTTTTATTAGTGTTAGCTGACAGATACGAGTATATTATGAAGTTTCATATAGATATAATTGATTGCTGAATATGAATTTATTGCAGAAACATGAAAAATTACTGCATTTCCGTACTTGGTCTTATCCAAAAAGGCAGGATATGACAGAGTACATTCATTCAATTACTCTGTACTAAAACTGGTTATAAATGCGTTTAGTTACCTCTGAAAATCACGCAGTTCAACGTTCTTTAGCCAAAATACTTTCAAATAATTTGGCGAATGGACAAATCATGTCAACAATTCCTTATTTCCTTTGTCTTTTGCATTTATTGAGAGCATTAGCAACGCAGCTCAGGCTGACAGTGTATGCTGTTAACAGCGGTCACAGCGGATGTCATTACAATATTGTTTGACAGGTCAAAAGATTAATGTTTGTCAGGCAAGCGGTTAAGCTGTCGCACGCATTGTGAGTGATAGCCATAATGATTTGTTGGAGTATAAAGGTGAACACACACGTTTTTTACCGTCTTTTTTTGTAAAGATATAGACTAAAGCCCGGTTTTTTTTTAAATTAGATTAGTATCTTGAGCATGCTTATTTTCATTTTCATATGAAGTTCATGTGTGAGTCGAGAATGGGCACGCTCAAAACTCACTAAAAGTCTCAAATCTGAAACTGGGCTTTGCCTATTCTAAAATTTTAAGATCACTTCAGTATTATGTTTTAAAAGCTAAGCTAAATAAAGTTACCCATAAAATATTTTGCATATAAGAGAAAAAACGAAATGACTTTGACGTAGAAGGAAATTTCTTCTTCTGTTCACGGTGGTCATAAGTTATCGAGATTAGGCAATAAACATTTAATTCTAGAATATTCTACACTCTACCTATGACGTCTTCGCAAGCTTATACACTAACAAATGAGACAGTTCCACTGAATTAATTAGATACGGTGCATAATTAGAAAAATTGAACGTAAATATCTGCAACGAATCGGTTTGTGAATTGTGTCTCACCAAGTGTAGATTGTATGCAAAATATTACAGTTCTGTCACAATCTTTAGAAACATTTGCATTGTAAAATGGATGACGTAGAATGTTAGCCTTCGGAAATGTCTAAAATTACATTTTAATAGTCTCTGCCAAATAAATACTTAATACCAGAGTCTGTTGAGAAACCATTGCGATTTCATACTGCTATCAAACATTGCACGCTGATTTTTTGTACAGATTCTTGCCTTTAAATTATTTTGTTCCCTTCTGATTTAAACTTAATGGTATACTTTGCAATATTTGTCAAGAAAACAAAGTATTTTGACATATCTTTCTTAAATGTGGGCATAACGTAATGAAGTTGGCAATTTATATTTTTTTTAAACATAGTATAATGCGAACTTGAATAATAGAGTACTTACTTCTTAATTTAAGACCTTCCATTCCATTGATCATAATATGAACAGTGTGCTTAGTGCTTACCATAAGTTTACATTAGGTGTGCTCGCTATCTAAAAATCATTGATGATTTTAGTCCTTGAAAGTAGCCGCTAGGGGCGCTATACAATCGCTAGCGAGTACAACTAACATAAACTCATGGTAAGCACACAGGTCTGCACAATATTAACATAGTATGTGCTAAGAATGTCATCTAATATACTTATAGCGTGAAGTGACGACTATACTAAACTATTTGATCATCAAAGTACACATTAACATGCGCTATGGGCAGTAATTTCCAAACAAGAAACGCGCTAATTACATAAACAAGTGGTAATTAAGACAAAAACACGAATTCCTGCAGTTAGCCGTTTCCCAAGAGCTCCTTGGCCGTAAGTACAGTCGGAAGGTAAATCATAAAGGTAAGTAATAACAAGAATCAGAAATAACATCGATAAAGCATGTGACCAATACACACACAACAAAAATTAAGGCCCAGTTTTTTAGCTTGACTGCTAATTTTCTAGTCAAGTGTAAACTTTTCATAATAAATCCATTTTAAGTAGAGAATCAATCCAGAAACTGGGCCTAAGGCTTTAAGGCCTTTGGTACTTTTAAGTTAATAAAGTTACTGTTCTTGAGTAGTATACTTATTTGGGTAGTTTCACTTACTAAAATTAAAGGATTCTAGAGACTGATTTTTATAACATGGACTTGGGATTCAAGTTCCACTTGAGGGCTCAATTATTCCAAGTCAGAAGTCATGTTCATAGTTATTTTTAGCCTCATCGTGCAAAAAGTTTATTAACGGAGGGTTTTTCTAGCTGACTGTATCAGTATTTCACCACAACAATGAAGTACCGAGTACGCGAAAGGTTACCGGCTGCTGATTTATAGAGGCGCTTGTCTCGATGCACTCTTCGTGCTATTGTAACGTTATTTACTATTTGTTCCTGTTTAGGTTATATTATTAGTTTTGGTTTATAAATAGAGTTATGTTTTCCCCTTTAATTCTGTTTGTTGATAGTTGTAGTAAAAATATGTAGGTTTCAGTCCAATTTTTGAAGGTTTTTGTCTACTATCTGTCTCTAGATCTTTCAGGTTCCAAAACTCTGATACCAAGATTGAGAGTTTGTAGTGTCCCAAATTAAAATTATCTTAGATTCGTAACTCCTTTTATTACTCAACAATCAATCGCGTTAACTGTTCACGTCTTTTAATGACAAATCGTATAGTTATTTTTAAATTAACTCGATTTGCCAGCTGTTGTCCTTAGTCCCGATGCAAAAGTGTCGACCGAGGCAAGCCACCTTTTACCGATCATATAGAGATATAATAGGTACATACAGTCAAAAGCTATGTCCATATGGCCTTAGGGTCACTACTCCAATTTGTAATCATTAACAGACGTTCTTGACATTGACGGAATGTAACCACAGACTTCGTTTTGTAAGCTTCGAGAGATTTATGAGAAATGTACTGATGAATTGGATTTAATTAGGTTATTTCTTTTATGATAATTAGTGAGTGGGATTGCCGATTGTTTTGATTAGACAAAATCGTCAAAATATTTTTGGCACAGCTTTATATTAATAAGTTTAATGGGCTAGATATTTTTAGACTTTTACCGAGGTAGTTTAATTAGGATACCTGAACTATCAATGACAATGGCAACGAAATCTGCAGACATAGAGTTATCTGCCAGTTAAAGATCAGGTCTAATGTTTTTAACCTTTCAGTGTGCATTAACCACTACATAATATACATCATGTAATATGTGATATTGACTTATTTCAGTATTAAAACACATTATGAAAGAGCCGCCGTCCCACTCGAGTTGCAAATCGATGTGATTGCGTTAGTTAGGTAACTGAAGGCACGTTAACGTAAAACTAAAAACATGTTTTCTATTGACCTGCGCGAGAATGTTGACAGATCTCTCCGTCCATCGTCGAGTTAGGCTCGGTTTGGTTAGATTACTTAACTCTAATACAGCCGTGAAGAATGTCACAGTGTCTTTTAAAGAGCTCTACAGTCGTCAATAGTAGCAGGCAATTTTTATAGTTATTGGGCGACCGTGTGTCTCTATTCTCTCGGTCGTTAAAGAGCTTATAAAATGCTAAGAAGATTGTGATTTCGAACTCATGCGTCTGCAAGTAATTTTTTTTTATATTTGAAAGATTGTGCTTTTAAGGACTAGAAGAATACTTAGTCTTAATGCTCTTAAATTAATCTAATTCCTAGCTCTGGTAAGGTGTGATGCACTTTTACTAACATATTGCCTATTTAACGATTTGATGGACACAATTTCACATACAAAATTAATAAATATGTATAAGTATTAAGATTTCCTCTAAACCTTCACCTTGTCCTGGCATTGCCCCCTTTCCACGGGGCCTCTAAGACCAAGGACCGCGTGTAGTAGTACCGCGCATGCGCCGACCGCGGCGTTCGCGCCTTCCTTTTGTATCTTTCAGTCCTCACCAGATTCCCTCCACCGGGCATCGTGCCTTCTCACATCCTACCCATCCGCGAGAGACGAAGCACTTGACATTTTACTTTTTCAAAAAACACGCAAACGAATACATTTCTCTGGAGCCACTTCTTCAATCTGACGTTCGCTCGGCGCGAAGACTCGCTCGACTTTCAGGTGACAAAGACAACAATCATGTAAACAATAAATATTGTTTCAACGCAATCGTCTGCGCCTACACAGGATGCTGTTCGATATTTTTTCATGTACCTATTGTTCAGGTATTTATTAATAGGAAAATCCTTGT